TTCCTTGTTCATTGTGATAGTGTGAACGCTGGAGAATCGTTTCTTCGGAAGATTTTATATCATACATTGTTGGCTTTCCTATATTGAACTCAGCCTTTTATTACAATGAACTTTCACCAGCGTCTAGTCTGTTTAAAATTTCCCCTTTTTGCGATAACTCCAAAGTTTTTCTTTTCTTCTCATTCCCATCATCCTTTGCACAAATACAAGCCATTAGGCTGAAATATGGATAAACAAAAACAGAAATTTCTAATCAGTTATATATCACCCAAATAGTTCAAATATACACATCAAAATCATGCCGGATATGCGGGATTCCGGATTTGAGACTCTCCTGATATGAGGGATTCCGAATATAAGAGATTCTACTGTATATATAAAATCTATGGATATGTCAATTTAATTACTTTTCAGATTGTTGAATTTTTCAACCGAATAACTTCACAACTGGTTCGTTGGACATGACATAATTTAAACACACAGCTAAGAGACGTATTCGATCCAGTACCAAGAAAACACTACCGTATAACAGAATGTAATATAAACGCATGACAGACGAGGCAGCGGGGAAGAATCTTTAACTCACTCTCAATATAACGATCGAGAGTTTGAAAAAAAAACCCGAAACACATAACATCGATTCAGACGACGTCAAATAATAAGATGAGATTAATAATTAATTCTTTATGTACGAATAATTTCGTATGCTTATTAGTTGTTAAAATATAGGGGGCTAGTGGACGTTATTTTATGACATTGTCCGTTCCCAGCATATATCGACTTTGAATTGTTTAAAAATGAAATGAAAATACACAGGGCATGTATACAAAATAAATTATTTATCTAACAAAATATATAAATATAATGATGCAGTTACAGTTGGTCTTGGTTCCAGAGTTCAAAAGAAAATGCCCTGTTACATACGAGAGGGAGTCAGGGAGCATATATATATATATATATATATATATATATATATATATATATGTATGTATCCACAGGTTTCTTAAAAGGTGGTCGGAAGAGATGGGTATTGAATGTATCTCAATAGGATTGCATGGGTTCCGCATGTGCTGTATTTAGCCTTTGTCATCATTAAGATGGCCAGTGTCCTTATATTCTGGCTGAGAGCAGCCCTTATTTCTGATTTTCACGATGGTATCAAGGAGTCATGTTTGGAGAAAAGACGGCGCAGCCTTTGTACTGAAGAACACAATCCCGACGGTGGGATTTGTTGGTCGTAATATCATAGTTTGGGGATCTTTTTATACTAATGGCACAGGCAATAATTTAGAGCTAACAGATGGAAGGTATAGCAAGATGTTTTGGAATCTAATTTGTTTGTTAGTAAAGCTTGGGCTCTCAAATGAATGGGTTTTGCAGCAATATAATGACCCTAAACATACGGCCAAATCTACGAAAAAATGGCTTATTGAAAACAATGTCAATAGACTCGAATGGCTAACACAGTCTCCAGACTTGAATCCAACAGAGAATTTGTGGCGTTTATTAAAAATTAAACATCCTGAACCTAAAGAGAATATGCAAAGAAGAATGGAGTAAAATACCAATGGAAACTCACAAATCATTGATTAAAAGCTACAGAGACTGATTGCTGTTGATTTGAGTAAGGAATATGTTAAGAAGTATTAAATAGGTATTATAATTTTGTATGAATATCTTTTTCGCCTCCATTTTTTTTTTAATTTCATTAATATAACAATTTTTTTCTGATGTTTTGCAAATTGAAGCATTGTGCCATCGTATACAAATATTGTATCGATTATAATTTTTTTTCTTATAAAATCTAACTATATTAAATAAAAAAAAAATCATGATGTACGAATATTTCTTTCCCCGCATTGTATCTCTCATCTTTATTACATTATAACTTACTTTTACCATTTTCATTTTTTATTCAGTATTTTTGTAATTTATTGACGCGCACGATTTCCATCGAAATATTAGTGTTGTCTGGATTGCAAAGCGTGTTTCTCCCTGGCAAACACGCGAAGAATCCCGGAGAGAACGCAATTCCTGCAAAACTATTATACGTTATTTATGCGTCGCGAGAATAAAGAATGTCACCGAGAGGTTTAATTCTATTTCGGGCAGAAAGAATTTCATGTCTGGTCAGTAAGAGATGTGAATGGAGAAGGTGATGTGTATATTTTCTCTTTTCTTGCATAAATGTACACAGATACTCGCTATGCTATCTTGAATATATAGAGTTTCTCTAAGGATACTGTATTTATGAGTAATTATTTATGTTTTTGTGTCTACTCGATAACGCAGGTGTAAAATAAAAGACAAGAAGATCGGAAAAGATTTCGAAAAGACGGATGAATAAATGAGAATTGAACGGCGATGGAGAGACGCCATCACTAAATGACTCGTAATAAAAGTTAAAGAAACTATTCAATTATAAAAAGTAGCAACGGCCGAAACGTTTTTCATAAAAAAAAAAAAAAAAGATGAAGACAATAGTCCGAATATAATTTGA